CGAGGGGTCGGTGAGGAAAGAAAATGGAGGCAGGTGTGTAAAGGGATGGAGGATGCAAAGCTAAACCGGGAGTTCTAACCCCACCGTGTTTGTCCTACTGCAGGTGACAACACTTTGTGACAGAAGAGGACATAGAGGAATCCCCAGCATCAGATCTACTTCAAAGCTCCAATGCCTCTGAATGTCTGTGCTCCTCAACACCAATGACTGATGTCCCCAAAGACCCCTCCAATTCCTGCCTGTCTGTGATCCTACTTGCACTTAGCACTCAATAAATGCTGGAATTTGATGTATGGTGACAATTTAGTCCCCACACTGGATGGTGTATAGGCCCTGGTTTCCTCTGAGACTCCTCCCTACAGAGCATTCTTTCTGAGTAATCCCAAGGATCAATAAATACTTGTGTGTGTTTGGTATTTCTGGTGCCTCCTTTGTGACTCCAGGGCCTTTCTTCGGTCTCTATATCTTCAGTTCCCTAGAAGCACATATCCTGGACCTGTAATGTGGATGTAGTTATTGCAGTTTCTGAGCCTACCAGGTGTAGAGAATGTTTGCTCTGCCCTGGGTACTTCCCTAACCTATAGCATGGGGTGGAGGGCACAAGGATTGTTGATGTCACTGTGGGGTTGATTTACTCTGAACTATTCATCTCATCTCCATCCTGCTGCTAACCTCCTTTGTTCACCCCCTTTTTATTTCACCCAGAATTCTGATCACTTCTGGACTCTGACCCCCAGGGCTCCTCTCCTCCTCCAGGCAGCAGAAAAGATCCATTTTCCAGTAGACACACTGTTTTGCAGGAGTTTCCCATGGTAAATTTGTTAAGCCTTTAGTAACTTAAGGTCTCTTTTATACCATGTCATACTGTACTCTATCCACTAGTCCTCTACCTGCCCCATCCTGCCAGGCTTTACTTTATTCCCCCTCCCCCACATCTTTTCAGGGGCATCTGCAACCATCTTTGCAGATCCCAGTATGTTAGCTGGCTTACTGATGTCTGAATCTCAACTGTCAATTAAGGTCATGTTTCCCACAGGGTCCCTGGGCCTGGAGCAAAGTGTAGGCATATGGATATGTATCTGTTTCCGATGGAGAATTTTAACATAAACTGCTCACCATTCTATTATACATGGTCTTGGTGGTAAATTGGAACTAGAAATTAAGAGGTGTTATGAGGCTTTGATACAGAAAACTAGAAGTTATAATATTAAATTACGCATAAGGGGCAGCTTAAGGAGATGCCTCTTCCTGTTTCTCAGTTCCTCTCAGGCCCTATCCTAATGTGTTGGATGTGGGAGTTCTGGACATGGAGGATGTGGGGGTATGGTCAGCTGCCCCACAGGGCCTAGCATAGTTCCTTATAATCAGAATGCAAAAAATATTAACTATTTCACTTTTAATTATTATACTTTTTATTTCTTCTTGCAGTTTTTATCTTTTTATATGAGATTTCTCTAATATTTTACCTTAACCATAGCTTATCCTCATCACTCTCCTCTGCTACTCTGGCCATCACTGGTTCCTCACTGGTTCCAGTGAGGGCTCCTGCCTGGTTCTGTGGAAGGAGCCCCCACCTGGAGCACTGGCTCTACAGAGTGATCTTCAGATCTTGGACAATGCAGACTCACCATAATTTCCCCTTTCTGACCTTTGATGGATGTTAAAATGTCATTTTGATGACCCCTTTGTGAGAAACTGGTCCTTCCAAAATCACTCCAGACCACCAGGTACCATTGTTCCCATCACACGCACACCCTGATCTCCTCACTCTGCTGAGAATAGCAGCCCCCGCATGATATCAGAGCCCCAAAGTCTTTCTCAGGGAGTAAGCCCACATGGAAAGCCCCCTAAGGTCATTCCCCTGAGCTGGATCCTCCAGGAGGAGCAGCTCTGCACTTACCTGGGGTGTCTCTGCTCTGAACCAAAGGGGAGCTTAGCATCAACCAAGGACATCATGAGAGCGGCCATCCCTGGGACCCCAGTGATCCTCGGGACCACCATCCTGGAGCCTGGGAAAGGATGGGGGCTGAGAGACTTGCAGTCAGAACAGCTCTCACTAAATGGGCCCCACTCCTAAAATATATTAATATATTATTAATATATTAATTTATATACTATATGCTATAATATTAAAATATTAGAGATGATGAACTTGGGTAGCCTTCCTTAACCCCTGGGTGTGGCCAGATTCTGAAAAAGGGAACCAATAAGCAGGAATTGTCATTCACTAGATAGAAGTTTGGTATAAAGCACATAATTCTTTAAGGTGTAAGATTCATTGAAGACAGTATAAGGAAAGGGATCCTCATTTTGAGCAACTGGGTGAGTCATAAGGTTTGATTGCTTATGTGTTTTCCTCCCTAGGAACAGATCCCAACGAATGTCATTCCCACTCCATGGTGAACACCATCTCCCTTGCACAGACATGTTCTGGGATAGAGCAGTCCTAAGCAGTGTGTTGAAGATCTAGGGGGATTAGACTCCCTACCTTTAAACTCTGGGGTCCATCCTTTCTTTGCATTTCAATATTTTGGCAGGGGGCAGAATTTGTAAACACCAAATGATCCCTTGCTAATTTATAGGTGGTTCTGATATGTGTTTCTGATTTTTTTTTTAACCCACTATGACTAGTTTCCTCTCATGTAGAATGGAGATTATTATGGAGCCTATGTCATTGGTTTATTGGGAAATCTAATTGGGATAATACTCAGTATTTGTAAGTCTCTTAAAACAGAGCTGGCGCATAGTAAGGAATCAAGAAATGTTCATTATTATACTGCAAGGCTAATTAAAAACAGAAAAACAGTTGAATAAATACAAAACACAATTAATTTTAACAATATAAGTTCTATCACTTTGTTAATAAGTATCAGGGGCTTTTACTACAGTTCTACACAAATTTATGAAAAGACATCAAATTTATATATAAAAAAAGAATTTATAAAGCAAAGTTAATTTTACACTAAGTGGTAAAATATTAGAGAAATCTCGTATAAAAAGATAAAAACTGCAAGAAGAAATAAAAAGAATAATTAGAAGTGAAATAGTTAATATTTTTTGCATTCTGATTATATGTCTGGAAATTTTTGATTAAATATTATCAGATTCCTCCAAAATTATCAAAGGAATGAAAGGGTAAAATATAACATTACTTAATAACAATCAAGGGAATTCTTATATGATACAAAAAATCAACATGAAATTATGAAGAAAATTATCCATTCACAAAAGTTACTACAAATAAAAAATGTTCCAGGATCAATTTCAAAGACGTATTTCCAATCAATCCCATTAAAAGGAAGGTGATTATCATGTCTCCATTTTTGTTCTCTTCCTCTTATCCCTGAACCCCACATAGGTTGGGACTTTCTCAGCCGCGTCGTTTCTCGCCTCTTTCCCAGACACTAAGATGCTCCTTCTGACATTTTCTGGTTGGCTAAGCCCCGCTGATCTGTTTCACCTCCACCCCTTCTCCCTCCACCAGATAGGGAAATAAGTCCTGGATTCAGAGCTCCTCTGAATCCTGCTCTGCTCTGCCTCATTCTCTCCCCACTGTCTGCCTCATTCTCTCCCCACTGTCTGCCTCATTCTCTCCTGCTCTGCCTCATTCTCTCCCCACTGTCTGCCTCACGGCAGCCACTGCAGATGTACCTGGAAGACATAAGGAAAAGAAAAAAACCTTTGAGTTATGAGGGTTAAATGAAGCAATGCCCACACATAACAGGTTATGGGAGTCACGGTTTATTCGCCATGCTCAGCGCCTCTCTTCCTGGGCTCCCTCACTTAATCATCCCATCCTTTCTGCAGACCCCAGCTATGCTTACTCCTGGCTTAGTAACACCCAAGTATGCACCCTCAGCCTCTCTTGGAAACGAAGGCAGCTGGTCCCACGCAAGGCCAGATGGGAGGGGTGCAGTGGGCGGGGAGCAAGCAGAGGGAAGAACAGGGGGCGGGGCCGGGGGCGGGGCCAGGGGACGAACAAGATGCCGGGGCTGCTTGTAAGGAGGGAGGAGGCACCACCTCCGTGCGTCAGAGATCTTCTGAGCGCTCAGTATGTGCCTCAGGAGGTAATAATTCATAGTTTATGCAGAAAGGACCACTTAGAACTTATCTCGACTTTCCGGATAATTTCATATGAAACAGAAAACCCAAAATCATTTTGGATTGTAAAAGCAGCCCCAAGTTTAAAAAAGAGAACTGCATCTACTGCTTTGAGCATTTTAACACTGTGTGAATTACGAGGACAGGAGGCCTGGATGGTCTGATGACTACAGACTTAAAGGATAAACCTGTATCTTCTATAACTTGTTGCATTAAAAAGGCTAAGCCTTGTTTGGTCAAGGACTATTTATCATGGTATGCAAAACAAAGGGCTTAAGTTTATTACATTTCCAATTTTAAATTCTGATCTTAACTTGATTTCTTTTTAAAAAAGATTTATTTATTTACTTTAGGGGGAGGGGCAGAGGGAGAAGGAGAGAGAGACTCCTCAAGCAGACATCCCACTGAGCGGGGAGCCTGATGCAGGGCTCCATCCCAGGACTGAGATTGTGACCTGAGCCAAAATCAAGAGTCAGACGCTCAATCAGCTGAGCCACCCAGGTACCCTTTAATTTGATTTCTTAACGGTAATGATAAAACACGCTCTTTGTAAGTTATATGTTGAATCAGTGCTGTGTGAATATAGGTCATATAACACAAAATTCACCATCTGCTCATCCTTGAATAACTAAGAATGGTCCCAGACCTACAGGGATAAAAGTAGCAAACACAAATCACTATCTTTGGGACAGCCCAAAGATAGAGGGTGAATTCAGAGGAGGTCCATGTCCAATCTGCCACCTTTCCCAAGAGTTAGGATATCCCCTTTTCATGCTTTCCTTCTTGCCTGTGTATACACAACAATGAACCTCTTCATGAACTCCATTGTTTACAAAAATCCTCAAACAAAAGCAATGGCAGAGATGACTTGGTGCATATTCTTAAGAGAAAACAGACAATAACATTGACCTTTTATTATTTATGGAACTATAAGAAGGGAACTTGGATAGGGGCCCTGAGAGAAAGTGTGCATGGAATCAAAGAACAACTATAGAAACTAGTTTCAGTTACTTCGTAGTAACATCCTCTTGGGAGGCTGAAGTCTGTCCCAGAACCAGCCTCTAGGACTGAGGAAAGATAGAAAAATGCTTGTTCCGGGGCACACGGAGGTCTTTGGGTCAGATCAGGAACCTGCAGAGGTAAAAGGAAAAGTTATCTCAGGTTGCTGATTTCTCTTCCTTTAAGGCTCAGGAAAGAAAAATTTGGTGACATACTGAGTCTCAGCCTGATGAAAAATAAGAATTTTTCTGGGCTTCCTTCATCAGTGGAATAAAGTAACGCTCGTTTTCCACACTTGCTAACTGGCTGAAGTTTAAAGAGAGGCTCAGGCCTGAGACCCTCTCCCAGTAGATGATTTAGAGTCACGGTGCAATGAAAGGACTTTCTGCGGGGCACCTGGGTGGCTCAGTCGTTAAGCGTCTGCCTTTGGCTCAGGTCATGATCCCAGGGTCCTGGGATTGAGCCCCACGTGGAGCCCTGCATCAGGCTCCCTGCTCCGCAGGAAGCCTGCTTCTCCCTCTCCCACTCCCCCTGCTTGTGTTCCCTCTCTCGCTGTGTCTCTCTCTGTCAAATAAATAAGTAAAATCGGGGCGCCTGGGTGGCTCAGTCGTTGGGCGTCTGCCTTCGGCTCAGGTCATGATCCCAGGGTCCTGGGATTGAGTCCCACATCGGGCTCCCTCCTGGGGGGGAAGCTTGCTTCTCCCTCTCCCACTCCCCCTGCTTGTGTTCCTGCTCTTGCTATCTCTCTCTGTCAAATACGTAAATAAAATCTTTAAAATAAATAAATAAGTAAATAAATAAATAAAATCTTAAAAAAAAAGAAAGAAAGAAAGGACTTTCTGCAACCCACCCCCCAAGAAAAACAAAGCAGGAGTATTACTTGGTTTTCAAGATTGTCGTTATGTGAAAATGAAAGGAGAAAAGGAATGTCTTCAGCCATTAAAAGCATCTTAGACAATTAGATAAACTTTCCAATCTCATTTCCATTGCCATGGTCTGATCCCTGGGAAGTAAGGCAGGGGCTGGTTGAAGACTAATCCATACTAAATGAACTCAGGCATGACCTGAGTATCTGCAGCCCCCATGCGTCTGGTTGAGATAAGATTCCAGCCTGGGAATTTCTCTCTCCCTCGAGGCTGTTTTTGCTCCCTGACAATCTGATTTCAGTGGCCTCCAGGATTCTCTGGCATTGCTTTTCTGTGTCAGTTCCTTATCATGGAAGATGGGTGAGTAAGGGGAAAGCAAACCTCAGCCACCTCTCAGGTTTTCTTACCTTTCTTGCTCCTCATTCGCACTAAGATGCCCACTACAAGGAAGATGAGCCCCAGCACAAAGCTTGAGATTCCAGCCAGCGTTCCTCTGGGCAGAATCAGGGTGCCTCCGGGAAACACAGACTGGAGTCAGTCTCACCTCTACCTGCTGCAACCCCCTCAGGTACTATCTGAGATTCTGGGACCTGATGTAGAACTCCAATATGAAGGCTATGACAGATACATACCTTGGAGAAGGAGGAAATTTAGAAAGGACCCCCAAGTTCTGGAAATTAGGCTGTGACTTCAAAAAGGACACACATGCTAATTCTGGTAGCTGCCTCTCAAAATAACTCACTAAGCTAAAAGACCGAAGGCAGAGAACAGTTCCCATGTGTGAGGGTAATTCGGGAAGGCGTCTGAGTTTCCTAGGTTTTCTGACAAGAGCAGAGACCTACGAATCCTTAGCATCCCCTAGGTCAGGGTGGCCAAGTCTCTGCTGCCCCAGCTCTGAACTATTCTCAGGGACTTCTCTAGGAAAAAGATGGGGGTAGAAATGACCCCAGTGTATAGACACATGACAAGATGAGTGGACCCCAGAGCTAGAACGTCCCCTGTTCTCAGAATTTGGAGTCTACATGGTTATCAGGGAATAACTCACTCCACTCCACAGTGACAGGACCATCCAGGCTGGGGTGCTCCACTTGGCAGGTCCAGCCATCTCCCTGCTGAAGGGTCATTGCCAGTATCACCAGGATCTGGAAGATCCAGTCTTTATTATGGATCAGGTTGGTGGACATAACCCTAGCTGTTTTCCTCCTGTCCACTCAGGAACCAGTGGGGTTGAATGTGGCCTGGATAGAAATCTGTCACATAGTATACAAGAAGGCTGAGGTGCTGTAGGGGCCATTCTTCAAAGGGGAGGTGTTCGCTTTAGGCTTGACTAAGAATTGTAAAAAGGAAAAAGAGCTAATGGCATATGAGATTATTATTTCTTAGACATTTTTGTTATAGAGTTGATTTCTAGATGTTTAAAATATAAATGATATAATTAGGCTAGGAGATATGGGTGGTACTGAACAGATGGAAATAAACCTTCAAATGGAATATTCATGACCTTGAATTATATAATAAGGATTGAGAAGAATGGGAGAGAGACAAGGCAGTACTTTGTGGCACATTTAGCAGAAATTTTAACTGTAAAAAAAAAAGAAATTTTAACTGTAAGTCAGTGAGTAATAGCCTTTGGACAAAGAATATATAACCAGCTGTGAAATGACCTATGTTTTCAATGTTTATCTTGATTAAAAGGATGAAAAATTTGCTCAAATAATTTCTTAAAATTAAATATACAGACAATAGCATTCTCTTGTTATATGAATCTAATAACTTTTTTTTAAATGAAGGAAATTAAGCAAGTTTGATATGGCTTATTCTTTAAATAACTTAAATATTTTTTTTACAAAAGTCCAAAATCTTCATATTTATAGTGCTATCCCCAAACCCAGTATTCTGAGCCCCTACATGCTTCATCAGTAGGCATACTAGTCCTTTAAGTTCCTCTTCTGCAATATGTCTTCTCAGGCTCCTTGAAGAATCCCCCAAACAGTCAGATGTTATCTGTACCTCCACATTTCTCTGCTTGATGGCCCCTTTCCTTCTTCTTCATCTTCTGTGCTGCTCATAGGTCAATTTCCAAGTGCAGTTTCTTCTTTTGGATAGCTCCCTCCAGAGGGCAGAAAGTGTCCATTGTGTCCCTAGAGAAAATTCAGAGCAGTTTCCCAAAACAGAGCTTCTAGCTCCTTAATAATTTAGTTCTTCCTTTTCTACTTTGTGCACAAATACTCTAGGGTGCAGCTGGGTCAGGTAAAGGTACAGTAACTATACCCATGACCATTGTTCCCTGTTATATTTTTGCCTTGTGCATACCAGGAGAGTGAGAAAATATCACAAAAAACTAAACTGAATGGGTGTGCAAGCACTTCCTATAGCTCCTCTCCCTGGCTCAGCACAGAGTGAGCAGGTGATAAAACCCAGCTCCCAGCTTCTCCCTGGAAGGAATTAGACTGTGCATCTAGCACCCTGACTTTTCTAGCTGTTGACTGAGGGTCTGGCTTCTAACTACCCTGTCCATAGGAGAGGGCCTGGAATTTGCTAGTCTCCTGGGGACAACAGAGAACAAGTGGTGGTTTTGAATAGGTTTATGGGTTCCTCTTATGGCTCCTTCTCCCTCAGTTCACTTCAGTGATAAAGCCCAGCATCCAGCTTCTCCCTGGAAGGAGTTGGACTACACATCTAGCCCCCCAACTTTTCCAGGTGCTACTGGAGAGACTGGCTTCCAATTCACCAGTCTTTGAGAACCGACAGGGATTGAAATTCACTAGGCCCCTGGGAACTACAGAGAGCAAAGCAATGGTTTAAAAGTATGTGGTCTGAACAAGAATGCAGGTATTTGTCACAGCTCTTCTCCTTGGCTCAGTGCAGAATGAGTGGGTGATAAACTCTAGCTCCCAGATTGTCCCTGAGGAAAGAAGGAATTGGATCACATATGCAGCACCCAACTTTTTCAGCTGCTACTCAAGGAGTTGGCTTCTATCTCACCTGTCTCGGGGCACTGACAGGACTTGTCACACTCTAGATTCCTGGTGGCTGCTAAGTACACAGACAATGGTTTGGAAACACATACAGAGATCTGAAAGACACCCATAATCTTTGGTTGGGATGATTGGTAAGGGTCTTCTCCTGTATGAGGCCAGTCCATGAAGACTAGGAGATGTGGCTGTTTTGTCTAATGCACAGACACCAACACAGAGTCAAGGAAAATGAAGAAGCAGGGAACTATGTTCCAAACAAAAAAATAACATAAATTTCTTAAAATCAATCCTAATGAAATAGAAATGTGATTTACCCAACAATCAAATTCAAAGTAAAATCTTGGGTAAAATCATTTACCCAAGAATTCAAAATAATTATCATTAAGATGCTCACTGAAGTTAGGAGAGCAATGCATGAACAAAGTGAGAATTTCAACAAAGAGTTAGAAAAATTTTAAAGTACCAAACAGAAATCATAAAGTTGAAGAATACAATAACTGAACTGAAAAATTCAACAGAGGTGTTCAACAGCAGACTAGATCAAGTAGAAGAAAGTATTAGTGAAATTGAAAACGAGTCACTGGAAGTCATCCAGTCAGAGGAACCAAAAGAAAAAAGAATGAAAAGAGTGAAGATAGCTTAAGGGACTGGGGACATCATCAAATTGACCAATATAAACATGATGGGAGTCTCAGAGGAAGAAGAGAGAGAGAAAGGGGCAGAATGCTTATTCAAAGAAATAATGTTGAAAACTTCCCAAATCTGGGGAAGCCTAAAGATCCAAGAAGCCTAAAGAATATTAAAGGAGATGTACCCAAAGAAACCCACACTGAAGCGCATTATAATTAAATTATCAAAGTCAAAGACAAAGGGAGAATTTTGAAAGCAGCAGGAAAAAAGCAACTTGTCACATACTAGAAAACCCCAATAAAACTATCAGTAGATTTTTCAGCAGAAACATTGCAGGCCAAAAGAGTGGGATGATATATATATAAAGTGCTGAAAGAAAACAAATCCTGCCAACCAAGAATGCTATATTCAGCAAAAACTGTCCTTCAAAAATGAAGGGAAGATAAAGACTTTCTCAGACAAACTAAGGGAGTCCATCACCACTAAGACCTGCCTTATAGGAAATGTTAGAACGAGGTGAAATGAAAGGATGCTAACAGCAAAATGATAACTTAAGAAAGTAAGAAACACATTAGTAAAGGTGAAAATATAGACAAATATGGAATGCTGTATCACTGTAACATTGATGAGCAGATCATTTTTAAATCTAGTGAAAAAAAGACAAAAGCACTAAAGTAACTATAACTAAAATCATATTAATGGATATACAGTATAAATAGATGTAAACTGTGACATCAGTAACATATACGGGGGTAGGGGAGAGGTAAAAGTGTAGAGTTCTTGTATGCAAGTCACGTTAAGTTGTTATCAGCTTAAAAGAGAGTGTTATAGCTAGAAGGTATTTATATAAGCCCCACTGTAACTACAAAGAAAATACCTATAGAAGCTACACAAAAGAAAAAGAACTAAAGTCTATCAATACAAAAAAAAAAAAACCCACACAAAGGAAGACAGAGAAAAAGAGGGACAAAGAACTATAAGACAAACAGAAAACGGTTAACAAAATGGTAATATTAAATCCTTCTCAATCAATAATTACTGTAGATGTAAATCGTTTAACTCCCCAATCAAAAGACATAGAGTGACTGAATGGATAAAAAATCCAAGATCCAACTATATGCTGTCTATTAGAAAATTACTTTATTACTTTTTAAAATTTTAATTCAATTAGCCAACTTATAGTACATTTTCAGTTTCAGATGTAGTGTTTAATAATTTATCAATTGTATATAACACCCAGTGCTCATCGTATCACATGCCCTCCTAAATGCTCATCACCCAATTACCCCATCTCCCCACCCACCTCCCCTCCAGCAACCCTCAGTTTGTTTCCTGGAGTTAAGAGTCTTTCATGTTGGGGTGCCTGGGTGGCTCAGATGATTAAGCGTCTGCCTTCAGCTCAGGTCATGATCCCAGAGTCCTGGGATCGGGTCCCACATTGGGCTCCCTGCTCCTTGGGAGCCTGCTTCTCCCTCTGCCTCTCTCTCTCTCTCTCTCTCTCTCTGTCTCTCATAAATAAATAAATAAAATCTTTTTTAAAAAAAAGAGTCTCTCATATTTTTTCTCCCTCTGATGACTTCCCATTCTGTTTTCCCTCCCTTCCCCTACAGTCCTCTGCCCTGTTTCTTATATTTCACATGAGTGAAACCATATGATAATTGTCTTTCTCTGATTGACTTATTTCACTCAGCATAATACCCTCCAGTTCTATTCACATCAAGAAACTTACTTTAGGGACGCCTGGGTGGCTCATTTGGTTAAGCGGCTGCCTTTGACTCACTCAGGTCATGATCCCAGGGTCAGAATATACATTTCTGTTATACAGAAATGTATAACAAAATGGAATCAAGAAGAAATAGAAAGCCTGAACAGACCAATAACAAATAAGAAAATTGAAGGAATAATTAAAAACCTTCCAACAAAGATAAGCCCAGGACCAGATGGCTTAATGGATGAATTCTACCAAACATTCAAAGAAGAATTAAAACCAATCCATCTAAAACTCTTCCAAAAAATAGAGGGAACACTTCCAAACCATTTATGAGTCCAGCAACACCCTAATACCAAAAGCTAGACAAAGATAACACAAGAAAAGAAAACCACAGACCAATATCCCTAATGAACACAGATGTTAAAATAGTAGAATATTAGCAGACCAATTCAACAGCACATTAAAAGGATTATATATCATGACCAAGTGGGATTTATCTGTGGGATGAAAAGATGGTTCAATAATGGCAAAATCAATTAATGTGACACATCATATTAACAGAATGAAAGATAAACATGATCATCTCACGATAGATGAATAGACACAGAAAAAGCATTTGACAACATCCATTTGGGATAAACACTATCAGCAAAATAGATATAGAGGAACTTACCTCAACACAATAAAGGCCATATATTAAAAGCCCACAGCTAACATAATGAATGAAGAAAACCTGAAAGCTTTTCTTCTAAGGTCTGATACAAGGCAAGGATGCCCACTCTTGCCACTTCTATTCAACATAGTACTGGAAATCCTAGCCAGAGCAATTAGACAAGAAAAAGAAATGAAAGGCATTCAAAACAGAAAGGAAGAAATAAATTTATCTGTTTTCAGATGACATGATCATATATGTGGAAAACTCCAAAGACTCAACAACAACAACAAAACTATTAGAACTAATAAATGAATCCAGTAAAGTAGTAGGAAACAAAATCAATGTGTGAAAATCAGTGATGTTTCTATACACTAAAAACGAACTCTCTGAAAAGAAAATTAAGGAAACAATCCTAATCACATAGCAACAAAAAGACTAAAATACTTAGGAATAAACTTAACCAAAGAGATGAAAAATTTGTCCACTGAAAATTCTAAAACATTGATGAAGGAAATCCACGCAGACACAGATAAAAGAAAAGACCTCAATGTTCATGGATTGGAAGGATGGATTGGTCCAGACTACTAAGGTAATTTACAGATTCAGTGCAATTCCTAAATCCCAATGGAATTCTTTATAGAAATCGAAAAAAAATCTTTTTTTTTTAAATTTTATTTATTTATTTGATGGAGAGCACAAGCAGGGGGAGCAGCAGAGAGAGAGGGAGAAGCAGACTCCTGGATGAGCAGGATCATGGCCTGGGCCAAAGGCAGACAATTAACCGACTGAGCCACCCAGGTACCCCTAGAAAAAATAATCTTAATTACATGAAACACAGAAGACCCCAAATAGACAAAACAATCTTGAGCAATAAGAACAAAGCTGGAGGCATCACATTTCCTTTTTTTTTCCACAGAAAGTGATTTATTGCTTTTAGAACGAAATAAAATGCTTTCAGAACTTTTATTAGTTAAGAAAAACTGTTAGAGGGGCGCCTGGGTGGCTCAGTTGGTTAAGCAACTGCCTTCGGCTCAGGTCATGATCCTGGAGTCCCGGGATCGAGTCCCACATCGGGCTCCCTGCTCAGCAGGGAGTCTGCTTCTCCCTCTGACCCTCTTCCCTCTCGTGCTCTCTATCTCTCATTCTCTGTCAAATAAATAAATAAAATCCTTAAAAAAAAGAAAAAAGAAAAACTGTTAGAACTTGAAAACTTTTCTAAAACATTACTTTGTCAGCTGATGAAGTAGGCACTTCAACACAGAAAACTTCCCATTTGCAACTGTGTGGAGCCCAAGCTGTCCAATTAGATGCAGCTAACTGCTTAGAAGTGGGGCTTGCACTTCGGCCAGTGTACTGTCAGGTCTAACCTCTTTGCTCTGATGCCTGTGGTGCTCCTTCTTCTCCAGCACCCACTCACAGCTCTTCTTCACCACCCCACGCCTCACAATCCTGTACGGGACTCTGTGTAGGAGACAGCCCTGAGTGGGTAGATGGAGTGGCCTGGCAACACCCAAGCTAATGACACAGGGAAAAATGGTGATCCTCCCTGAGTTAGGTGGCCTTGGATGCCCCTTCTACACAGAAGTCCCCACTTTTGGGTACCCTCTCCTCTTCCAGTGATATCCCCCAAGAGCCAAAGAAGTTGTTCAGTAGGAGAGCAAGAGGTGAGAGGCCCCACTCCCTCACAGGCGTCTTTGTGGTAGATGACTATCTGTTTAGGTGTTTGTTAGGTGTTGCCTATGGGGTAGGGAGGGGGCTAAGTTACTTTTGGGGCAACACAGGCCAGGATCAGCTCATGAGAGCCTGGCACTAACTAACGAGAGCCAAAGGCCCCATGTTGTCACTTCAGCCCCTACTCTGGCTGTAGGGCTAGCATGCCTGGTGTAGACCAAGTGGGAGTTTCCAGCAACTCCAGATGTCTGAGGCAGGAAAACAAGGCTGCCAGCCTGTGGCAACCCTGACAATGATCCTCAAGGGCTGATCCTGGCCTCCAGCCCTGGCTAAGAGAAAAGGGACCCTCCAGCCCCATGGGAGAGAGGCCTTGCCTAATTTCAAAATACATTACAATCAAAACAGTATGGTCCTGGTGAAAAAACAGACATATAGGAAAATGGAACAGAATAGAGGGCCCAGAACTAAATCAGTGCATCTATGCATCTATCTATGGTCAGTTGGTCTTCAACAAGAGTTTCAAAAACACTCAATGGGGAAAGGAGAGTCTCTTCAATAAATATTGTTGGGAAAATTGGATATCTATATGCAGAAGAATGAAACTGGGCCCTTGTCTCGCACCATATGCAAAAATCAACTCAAAATAGATTAAAGACTTAAACGTAAGACTTGAAACCATAAAATCCTAGAAGAAAACATAGGGGGAAATCTCCTTGACATATGAGGAGAGATATCATCTCATACCTGTTAGGATGGCTATTATCAAAAGACAAAAATTAGTGTTGCTGAGGATGTGGAGAAAAGGCAATCCTTGTACACTGGTAGTAGGAATGTAAATTGGTACAGCCATTATGGAAAACAGTATGGAGGGTCCTCAAAAAATTAAAAATAGAACTACCATATAATCCAGCAAACCCACTTCTGAGTATATATATCCATGGTATATATGTATGAATACATATATAATAGATACATAATATATTGTATATATATTAAAATGTTATATATTATACATAATACACATGCTAATTAGCTATATAGCAAACATTATGCTAAGTAAAATAAGGCAGACACAGAAAGACAAATACCGCATGATCTCACATGTGGAATCTAAGATAGTTAAACTCATAGAGGCAGAGAGTAGAATGGTGGTAACTAGGGGCTAGGGGGAAGTAGGAATGGGGAGCTATTGGTCAAAGGGTAGAAATCTTCGATTATCCAAGATGAATACGTTCTGGAGATCTTACGTACAGCATGGTGATATAGTTAACAATGTTGTATTGCATACTTGAAATTTGTTGAGGGTAGATCTCAAGTGTTCTCAACATACACACACACAAAGACTCTGGCTACCCTGTGAAGTGATGGATATGTTAATTAGCTTGATTGTGCGATCATTTCACAATGTATACATATATCAAAGCATCAAGTGGAACACCTTAAATATATATAATTAATATATATAATTCCTATTTGTCAATTATACCTCAACAAGATGGAAGAAGTCTTCAGGATCTGCCAACTCTTACCTGGCTACATGGAAATCAGTAGGGAGCTAATGAAAAATACAGATTTCCAGACCTCAACACCCACTCAGGATCTGAATCTCTGGGCTGCAGTGATTCTGCAGAATCTGTGCTTTAGGGAAGATTTCTAGGAGATTCTGGGGAGCAGGACTTGGGACCTGGTGGCCTAGAAGATAAACCCAAACTCCTTGGGCTGGCATGCAGCACTCTCTGCTATCTGCTATCCAGCAGCTGATCACTGCTAGAGAAAATGATGCCATTTAGCAGATCTGTGACCCTACAAAATCTTGTATAAGGCCCCCAACAATTTACCATTCCCACGACTTGTCTTTGGGCATTTCTCTCACCTAATTACCTCAGCAATTTGCCTTTTAAACGATGTTACTCTCTTAATTCCTATCCAATTTGTCCACCATCTCATTCTTAGCAGACGACCTTGCCTTCCACTTTCCCAACGAAAGAGGAAACAAAAGCTGTCACACACATACACAGCCTGTCCCTTCTCCCACCCTTCATCTTTTCCTTTGTCTCTGTGACAAGAGTCCTTGTTTTTGTTCACAGCTCACTCCTCCACCCCTCACTGCTATTGTCTCTGGTCTCCTCAAGTTGGTGTACCCAGTCTCCTCCTCTGTACAAGTTGACAGAAAGAAGCCTTGAATGGTCTTCTTGACTCAGCGCACATGTCAGCTCTCTCTTCCCTTCATACTCAGACTTCCTAAAAGAACATCACAATTCAGCTCAAACACTACTCTACCAGTGATGGGAAATCAAGACAAGTCAAATGCCATCTCAGCCCCCAAGGATCTTAGGCTCCACACTCATCCTCACCTCCCTTACTTCTCAGCCCATCCTGGTCCTGCTCCTGCTCCCCGTCCTGGAACCAGCCTGCTCTCCCCATGTCTCCCTGATTTCCAAACCCACACTTCACCCTGCCTTTCCTTCATCTTCTGAAGTCATTGCTACCATTGGTTTAGGTCACCTTCTTTTTTTTTTTTTTTAAGATTTTATTTATTTATTTGAGAGAGCGAGAATGAGAGAGAGAGAGAGAGAGCACATGAGCAGGGGGAGGGTCAGAGGGAGAAGCAGACTCCCCGCTGAGCAGGGAGCCCGATACGGGACTCGATCCCAGGACTCCAGGATCATGACCTGAGCCGAAGGCAGTCGCTTAACCAACTGAGCCACCCAGGCGCCCTAGGTCACCTTCTTAACCTCAGTTTCTGGAACAATTCTCTGTCCATTTCTCCTAATACCTGCTCTTCACTTTCAGGTTTCCTTCCCAGGATCTTTCTCTGTTAGCCAACATCACAACTGCCCAGGTTCCTGAGGTGCAGTCCTTTGCTCTCGTCTCCCGGGATCCGCTCTCCTAAATGATCTCAGCGCCTTCTCATGGGCTCCAGACATTTATAGTAACCGGCCACCTGTTGTCCCACAGACATCTCAGACCCATCTTCCCCACCAGCGTTTCTTCCTACATCGCCCGGAGGCGGTGCTGTGCTGGGAGGCTCTGTCGGCACCTCTCTGTCCCACGGGCCACGCCTGCACCCCTGCCTCCTGGGCTCCCCACGCCCCCACGGCCAACCAGGTGCTGGCCTGCGTGCTCCCGGCGACCTCTCCTCTCCTCCGGGGCTCAGCCCCTTCTGGTCCTGCCCTCGCCCTCCCCCGCCCCTCAACCCCAGCCCCAGCCCCAGCTTCCCCTTCCTGCCCCCCGCCCCCCGCCGACAAGCCCCGCCCACACGCCCAGCCCAGCGCGCGTGGCCACGCCCCCGCCCGGCCTCCCGCCAACGCTCCCCGCCCCTCGGCCGCGCGCCCTCTTCCCGACCCGCGTCGGCCTTTTTCCGGCGTGGCCACCGCCCCAGCTCGGTCAGCGGCATGTCTTTCCCGGTCCCCGCGGAAGTGCGCGCTCTCCTTTCCCGTTTACGATGTGCCTGTCCACCAGGCGCCGCGCCCCGGGAGACAGCCGGTGCCCTCAGCGTCCCCGCGGCAGGAAAGGGGAGCGGCGGCGCTGAGCCGGGGGGGGGGGGGAGGTGGCGCCGCCCGACTCCCACTCCCCGCTCGCCCGCCTCGGTCCGCGCGGTCCCGGGGGCGGAGCAGGGCAGCCGCGACCGTCGTTACCTGCTCACTCGCCTCGCCCTTCCCTTGCTTCCAGCTCCTGCCGGTCCTTAAACCCGCGCCACCACTCGCCGGCTGGGAGAGCTAACCTGGAGCCCCCGGGGTCCTAGTGCCGCCCAGATAGCGCAGCTTCGTATTGGGGCGCTTTCGCGGGCTCTCTCGCATTTATTGAGAGATAGAGCCTATTAAAATCAAAACCGAACGGAGACTAGCCTTGAAAATTCTAAGCAGAGTAACCAGTATGATCATACAAACAAAGCATAATTTAGCTTATTTTGCAAGGCTAAGTTGACCTAGATCATTTCTTGTTTGAGCTTCTGGAAATGATAAGCAAAACTTGAACTGGTTCCCATGGATGATATGAAGGGACCACTGAAAATTCTCACTGCAGCCAATCCGTGAAGAATAAACAGTCACTGCTTTCTCACGGCACAAGTAGCTTTATAAAGATATACCCTGGGCCTCATTCCGTGCTCTGGTTCCAGAGCTCCCGGTTTGCAAACTATTTTTGGTGTGTGCACAATAAATTTTTACTAATTACTTTAGTGGTTCATTGGTTTTTACTTTAGCTATTTTGAACCTTTGACAGTATATTTAATGGGCATGGTTCTAGCTATTCTCAAAACGTTTCACCTCAGGGCTGGATTTTTAAAAACTATCTTTTCAGGGGCGCCTCGGTGGCTCAGTCGTTGGGCGTCTGCCTTCGGCTGAGGTCATGATCCCAGGGTCCTGGGATCGAGCCGAGCCCCACATCGGGCTCCCTGCTGGGAGGGAGGCCTGCTTCTCTCCCACTCCCCCTGCTTGTGTACCTGCTCTCTCTCTCTGTCAAATAAACAAAATCTTTAAAAAATAAAAAAATAAATAAAAACTATCTTTTCAAATTGTGAGTTAGGTGACCTTGGTCACAGAACCTTACTAGGCCTTGGTGTTCTCACCTATGAAAGGAGAGGATTTAACTAAATGATTTCTGAACATTAAACAGTAGGCCTTTCACAGGGAAAAGAAAAAGGTAAATAAATAAACATGCTTACATATATATGAATATATAAAATGTGACTCAATGCTAAGGGGTGATTCAGTGATCTTTAGAGAGGGGTGGTCATGTTAAGGGGAAAGCAATCAATTCTGCTGGCAGCTGGAAGAGGAGGGGGACATGAAGCCTTCAGGCGGAGGTGATATTTCATGTGGGGTCCAGGGAGGGGCAGAATCTCACTAGTGGGGAAAGGCCTCAGGTGGAGGCATGGTAGGGACAGAAAGAGTTCGGAAAATGGAGAGTGGTGCTGTTCTCTCTGACTCCTTTCCTGCTGTTGGACATGCTTGGCTCACGTGTCATCTCCTCCAGGAAGCCTTCCCTTATTTCTTTGTCTTTTCCACAGTTAGGTTCTCTCTCTTCTGTTTCTAGTATTACATCTTAAATATACCTCAGTTTTGTTGTGTTGCATGCTGGAAATGTAGAAATAAATTTCATAAAGCTTTCTTAAAGCCTGCTGTAAGTTAAAATATCTTTTCACCTTTCAAGCATTGCCATAGAGAAACTTGACCTCAGGAGGTGTGGAATGTATCTTGATTGATCAATGAAAATCACCTCAACCTCCAGATAGAACATTTAACCTAAATACCAGCAGAATATATTTAAAAATATGATGCATTAATTTAAAAAAATAGCATTTAGAGACAACAGAAGACAAGCTGGAACATTCACAAATTTGTGGAAATTAAATAAAACACTCAAACAACTAATGGATCAAAAAAGAATCACAAGGGAAATTAGAAAATACTTCAATGAGTGAAAACTAATGCACAACACACAGGACAGCATACCAGCAGTAAGGGCTGCGCTAAGGGGCAAATTTATATCTGTAAACACATTAAAAAGGAAGAAAGGGGACAGCTGGGCGGCTCAGTTGGTTAAATAGCACCGCTGCCTTCAGATCAGGTCATGATCCCAGCGTCCTGGGATCGAGCCCTGCATCGGGCTCCTTGCTCAGCGGGGATCCTGCTTCTCCCTCTGCTTGCCGCACCCCCCCCCCCCCCTTGTGCCCTCTCACTCTGACAAATAAATAAATAAAATCTTAAAAAAAAAAAAAAAAGGAAATAGACCTTGGGACACCCAGGTGGTTCATTTGGTCAAGTGTCTGCCTTAGGCTCACGTTATGATCCTGGAATCCTGGGATCGAGTCTTGCATGGGGCTCCCTGCTCAGCAGGGAGTGTACTTCTCCCTCTGACTCTCCCCCCTATCATGCCCTCTCTCTCATTCTCTCTCTTTCAAATAAATAAATAAAATCTTAAAAAAAAAAAAAGAAAAAGACCTCAAACCAATCACATACTTCACAACCTGAGGAACTAGCAAAAGAACAAACAACCCAAAGCTGGCAAATGGAAGGAAATAATAAAGATTAAAACAGAGATAAATAAAATAGAGAAGAGAAAAATATACTGAAAATAAATAAACCCAAAAGTTGCTTCTTCAAAAAGATTAACAAAATTGAGAAACCATTATATGGATTGACTGAAAAAAGAGAGAGAAGATTCAAATTGCTAGTTAGAAATGAATGGGGGTGGGGGTTGCCTGGGTGGCTCAGTCAGTTAAGCATCTGCCTTCTGCTCAGGTCATGATCTCAGGGTCCTGGAATCCAGCCCCTCGTAGGGCTCCCTGCTCAGTGAGGAGTCTGCTTCTTCCTCTCCTTCTGCCCCTCCCTCACCCTCCTCCACCGCATGCTTGCTCATTACTCTCTCTCTCTCAAATAAATAAATAAAATCTTAAAAAAAAGAGAATGAATTAGGGACATTTCTACTGATTCCATAGAAACAAAAAGGATTAAAAGACAGTACCATGAACAATTGGATAATTAACTAATTGGATAACCTAGATGGAATGGATAAATACCTAGAAACAGAACACCTACCTAGACTGAACCAACAAGAAATAGAAAATCGGAGTAGACCTATAACTAGTAAGGTTAAATCAGTAATTAAAAAAAAAACTTTGGACAAGGAAAAGCCCTGGAGTTGATGGTTTCACTGGTTAATTCTACTAAACGTTAAAGAACTAATACCAATACTCCTCAAACTCAAAGAACTGAAAAGGAGGGGAATACATCCTAACTTCTTCTATGACACTATTGTTGTCTGATATCAAAGCCAAACAAAGACACTACCAGAAGAGAAAACTACAGGCCAATATCCCTTATGAATATTGATGCAAAAATCCTCATCAAAATACTAGCAAACTGAATCCAGGAGCATATCAAAAGAATGCACACCAAGTAGGATTTATTCTTGGAATGTAACCATGGTTCAACATATGAAAATTAATGTTATATGTGACACTAACAGAATGGGCGAAAAAACCCAATGTTCCACTTCAATTGATGCAAAAAAGCATTTGACAAAATTTTGACACTCTTGTGGTGAAAACACTCAACAAACTAGGAGTAGAAGGAAACGACCCCAACATAATAAAAGCCATTTTCATTTATATGAAAATCACACAGCTAATAGCATAATCAGTGATGAGAGACAGAAAGCTTTTCCTGTAATTTCAGCAACAAGGTAAGGATGCCTGCTTTAGCTGCTACTCAAAATAGCACTAGAAATTCTAGCCAGAACAATTAAACAAACTAAGGGGAAAAAAAGGACATCCAAATTGGAAAGACTAAAATTATCTCTGTTCAAAGATGCATGATTTTATAAGTACAACACCCTAAAATTCCCCCCAAAACAATAAATAAATGAATTTCACAAAGTAGCAAGGTACAAAATCCACACAAATCCAGTTGTGTTTCTAATGCAAATCAAAACCACAATGAGATATTGCCTCACACCTGTCAGAAGAGCTAGTATCAAAAAGATAAGAAATAATAGGCATTGGCGAGGATGTAAAGAAAAGGGAACCCTGCACACTATTGGCAGGAATGTGAACTGGTGCAGCCACTATGGAAAATAGTATGGAGGTTCCCCAGAAAATTAAAAACAGAAATACCATACAATCTAGCAATTCCACTTCTGGGTATTCACCTGAAGAAAATGAAAACACTAATTCAAAAAAAGATATACACCCCGATGTTTATTGCAGTATTATTTACAATAGCCAAGATATTGAAGCAACCTAAGCCCATTGACTGATGAATGGATAAAGAAAACGTGGTATATACATAAAATGGAATATTACTCAGCTATAAAAAAGAATGAAATCTTGCCATTTGCAGCAACATGGATGGACCTAGAGGATATTATGCTAAGTGAAATAATTTACACAGAGAAAGACAAATACCATATAATTTCATCTATATGTGGAGTCTAAAAAACAAAACAAATGAATGAGCAAAACAGAAACAGACTCATAAATACAGAGCACAAACTGGTGGTTGCCAGAGGGGAAGTGGGTGAGGGGATGGGTGAAATAGATGGAAGGGAATTAAGAGGTACAAACTTCTAGTAATAAAATAAGTAAGTCATGGGGAGGTAAACTACAGCATAGGGAATATAGTCGATATTGCAATAACTGTGTATGGTGACAGACTTATCATGCTGGTCATTTACTGATGTATATAAACGTTGAATCACTATGTTGTACAGCTGAAATGAATACAATATTGTAAATATATATATATACTATACTTCAATAAAAAATCAGTTGTGTTTATATACACTAACAATGAACAATCCAACAAATAAAACAATTCTATTCACAATAGCATCAAAAAGAATAAAATTCTTAGGAATCAACCTAACCAAGGAGGTGAATGTTGTATGCACTGAAAACCAAAAAGACATTGCTGAGCCTTTTGCGGCCATTGCTGAAGTGCCAGCAGCCAAAATGAAGTTCAATCTTTGTGACTTCTCACCAGGGCAAGAATCATAAAAGGCATCTCAATGCACCTTCCCGCATTCTCAAGAAAATTATGTCTTCCCCTCTTTCCAAAGAGCTGAGACGGAAGTACATTTGATCCATGCCCATCTGAAAGGATGATGAAGTACAGGTTGTGTGAGGACACTACAAAGGCAAGCAGATTGGCAAAGTTGTCCAGGTTTACAGAAGGAATATGTCATCTACATTGAGCGAGTACAGCAAGAGAAGGCGAATGGCACAACTGTCCATGTGGGCATTCACCCTAGCAAGGTGGGTATCACTAGACCACAAAAGATGGCCAAAAGATCCTTGAACATAAGGCCAAATCTCGCCAAGTAGGAAAGGAAAAGGGCAAATATAAGGAAGAAACAATTGAGACGATGCAGGAATTAAGTAATCTTATATATGATTGTTCTATCCTATGCGGGAAAAAGATAAAAAAAAAAAACATTGCTGAAAGAAGTTAAAGAAGATGTAAATAAATGGAAAGACATTCCATGTTCATGGATTGGAGGACTTATTATTATTAAAATGTCAATATTATCCAGAGCAATCTACAGACTCAGTGCAATCCTTATCAAAATCCTAATTTTTTTTTGCAGGAATAGAATTATACATCCTGAAATTCATATGGAATCTCAAGGGGTCCCCAAATGCCAAAACAATCTTAAAAAAGAGGAAAAGAGTTGGAGGTGTCACACTTACTCATTT